GTGTTTGCCAGTAGATTTTAGCAGTCAGCGCTCTCAAATTTATGAGACGGCAATAAACAGCTTAGTAGGCTATTATTGCATGATTTTATGTAGACTGGAGTTCAACACCAAATTTAAAATTATTAGCGTAATTATGGAACTACTAAATTACCAAAGCAAAGCCTCTGCTCGAAAAGTTCTCCCAAGACAGACTTAATATTTCCAAGGCTCAGATGACACCCTTCTTCAAGAACTGTGTTATTTAATTATTAGCGTTTACATTTACTGACAATTTTAAGATGCGTTAGATGGCTTTTATTAGCGAGAATGAATACGGGGGGTACATTATTATATCTGACAAATTCATATGTAAACGTGATTCAGTAAGTGGCATGCGAATGATCTGACTATTGTCTTTTTGGATTGTGCAATACTGTTTATTTTAGGGGACGAGAAGCCGTCCAGTTTTTTCCCTCCTTCAATTGCTTCCAGTGTGTTTACAAAAAAAAAAAAAAAAAAAAAAAAAAAAAAAAGGCTTTGGGCCCGATCCCGCTTCAGTGAGGTCAATTGTTAGTCTCTTATTACGCTAGTGGTGGCAGGATCGGGCCCCGGCTAACCGTTTGAATAAGAGCCCAACCACAATACGCCCCGCATTTAAACTGGAACCCTTCCCGCGTTTTATTCAGCAGAGATGAACACGACGACTTGTGTTTAATGTCTGTTCTTGATTAAATGATCCTAAACAAAGGTTTCCCAGAGGAAAATAAAGCAGACATTCATGTAACAAGAGTTTGGAATGACAATATTTCCAAACACTTGGAGACAGAAGGCATAGCTGTCTACGGGAAAAAAAAAAAACCACAACAAAAACAACAAAAAAACCCCCCAACAAACAACCGCACACTGTTATTTCTCGGCTCCCCGCGCTCTTCACCCGCGTGGGAACCCACGCTCCGCACCGGGAGCCCGCGCCCGCTCCATCCCTGCCCGTCCCGCTCCGGGGCTCTCCCAGCGCACCCGGCGAACCCTGTGTTGCCTATGAAGGAGCAAAATACCTCCCCCCGCACTCCCCGGTAAGGCACTGTTTGTTGCTTGTTTACAGGGAGCCCCGAAAAAAAGCCGCTCGGCTGGGGCGGTGGAAGCCGGGAGCGCTTCAGCCCGACTCTGCGCAGCTGGAGGAGGTAAGAGCCGGGAAGCGGCCAGGCTGCCGGCCGCTGCTTTTGCGCCGATCGCAGCTGTAAGAAAGCCATTTGCCTAGTACCTGCATGCAGAACAAGCCTGCTGGAATGAGATTTTGTTGTTGTTGTGATAAATATTTAACCTGGCCGGATTTTTTGTTCTGGATTGGCTCTATTCATCTTCCGTGGGTGGTGAATGCGCGTGTCTGGGCAGACAAAGAAGTGTACGGGACCTGAGTGATCGCCATCCTTATAAAGGCATTGGGGACAGGAAGGATGCAAAGTCATTTGAAGAGCGAAAGGGGTTGAAAATTTCTTTGTCCATTCTTAGCTCCTTCCCAAATCAAAGGCGCAAGGCGAGGGGGAGAGGGTTGGAGCCATTTCGGTGTTGAATGGCTTATCGCGGCTTGTTTGTTTGCCTCCTCCTCGAGGAGTTCCGCGGCCAGTCCTGCAAATGTGGAGTGCATGTGGGGATGTTAGAAAACCTGATTTTTGCCGGAGTGCGTGCACCAGAATGGCTCGCAGATAAGTTTCGGGTATTTGTCCGTCCTGGCCTGCTTTGCACCGGGCGGAGGTCGGTGTTTGGTGGCCCAGAGTTGCTGGAGTCCTTGATGCTCTTGGTCCTTTGGCAGGAGAAATGTAATGCTTTTCATAGTGATCATTTTCTTATGCCGGCCGCCGAGAGGGGAGGATTACATAGAATCAGCTCAAATTCCTGCTAGATTTACCTGCTTATTTTTGGACGCTGATGTACAATTAGTATATTTTACTACCTTTTAAAAGCGGCCATAAATTAGAGGACTACAAGGGCTCTTTGTGTTGGCTTAATGGGCTGCTTAAATCTTAACTACCAAAAGGCGCTGCGAATGACTATTCGCGCTTGTGTTAGGGAATTAAAAGCGAAAATACGGTACGAAGGAACCTTCCTCCGGTGGCATGTACCCACAGCACAGCGTACAGAGATATTTGGGATTCCTAAACGGACCCAACGCTCGCAGACTCAGCTGACTCTGAGCAGAACTTCTCCCACAAGGGCACAGTCGATAGCTCTATTCTTTTTATCTGCTTGGAAATGATCAAAGACCAACTTTATCTCTATCAGACGCACAGATGTAGGTAAACAGCTCTGCGTCCCAGCAGATTTCAAATCTTTCGAGGAAGCGAGGAAATAAATACTCTTATATCGTACGGTGATTCCCATTTCGTCTCCACATGGGAATGGCAGGCTTACCTCTTAACAACTGGCATAAAAGTAGACTCGACCGACAGTAAAAATTTTAAATCTAATTATATTGAAGGTAACTTTAAATAGCATTAATGCTAAGAGTGGCTATTAATGCCAGAGCTGGCACAAAGGGTCTCTCTTAATGAAGGCACGTTATGAACTCAGATCTGTTTATTGTTACTGAGCCTGGAATTTCAGCTCAGCTCGAAGCCATGTGTATAAAGCACAGAAAAATCAGTAGCAGACCTACTGATAAACTCCACATTTTTCTGCTAAAAACCGTGTTTCAGGTCTCCAAATCATCGAGGTAATAAAACACAATGTTGAATGTCCAGGAACAACAACAAAGCAATATAAGGGGTGGTGGGGGAAATCTAGCATCTGTGACTAGCAAGATCATTTGAATTTGTATTTGAAAACTCGTAGTCACGATACTAGAGCAAAGAAAGCTTTCTCCAAAATCGGCGGAAGGGAATAATTTTCAGCTGCGATCCAGGGCAGCAGAAAGTTAGGCAGACTCCCCCTTCTGCCCCTCCAAGCACACCCTGTGGAAGGTACTCACACGTCAAGAAGTTACTTTTCTTAAGAATTAATTAGTTTCCCCACTACATACACGAAGTTAATTGTTAAACAGTAGTTTTAGCATTAACTTGACCATTAATACTAATAAAGATGTTCATAGAAACAGGGTTTTGAAGCCAATAGCCATGGCTAGCGTTAAGGCATTTAAGCTGACTTATGATTGTGATTTATTGCTTTTGTAGTTTCTAGTTGCTCAGGACTGTAACTTCTAAAGCCATCTTTCTGCTTTTGGCGCAAAGCAGTCGATAGCTTTTACAACAGCCCCAAGAAAGACTTGCTCTGCTTTTTTCAACATCTGCTCCATTCCCCATTAATTTCAGTTTCATTGTTGCAGAACTTCTCTGTGTGTTTCTTTTTGTGGGATCTAAACGCACCATATTTAAAAGAACCGTGAATCCATCTCGAGTAAATATCCACCTCGGTTTACGTTGAGTACGAGGGCTGTGGAGTTACCAGTCGTGCTGATAGTTACAGACTTGGGCATGTCGTGTGTGGCTAATGCTCTCCCTCTTTCAAAGGTATATAGCTTTTATTCCAGTTCTTAGTGAGGGATAATATATGTATACCCTGCTGCTAGCTTAGTCACTTCCATATGAAAAATTGCAAATTCTTCCTCTCTTGTAATGTCACGCTGACGCTGCTGCGATGTCCACTACTATACACTATTACTGACGGGTTTGAATTCCAGTGGCCCACTTCTACAATCCAAGCGAGAGTATATAAGGCTTGCCCGTAACACTAAAAATCGCCTTTAAAAAGAAATCTCCTTCCATTCTGTTCAATGCAGTGCAGGTGAAACAGTAAGAAGGGGTGTGCAGTTAGCTGAAAGTTTTCTCCGAGCTCATGGGGGATGGTGGAAAGATTTAGGCAAGCGTATAGACATCATGACGCAAAGTGCTGGAGTCACAGAACTGGACCAGGAACGCGTTAAAAGTGTGAACTATCTGATTTTCTTTGACTCCTTCCAGAAAAGTTATGTGAGTTGAGGGTTTCTTTTGTTTGTTTAGCTTATTGTGTCAATAGCACAAGTTAAACTATCTTGCAGGGAAGATGTGGGGTGTTCACACACAGGCGAAGCTGCCTGGCTCGGGGGCCGCATACAACTTTGCTCTTTTCTTTTTTTCTTGATTTTTTTTTCCCTTAGGCAGAGAGCTCCCCCTCCCCGATTTTTTTTTTTTTTTTCATCGTTAGAAACCTATAATTTTGTGCATCACTCAAACTAGCTGTATAGGAAATGCGTAAGCACAGGTTTAACAGCAAGGTCCCAAAAGGTTTTGCAAAATCCAGAGCCACGCCAGTGAAGGAAGGTGTATTCTTCATAGTATGTTACAAGGACAAAAATCAACTAGCCTCTTAGAAGAGACTCTTTTTTGCCTTTGTCAGGTAATTATAGGTCTTTTTAGTTTCTACAGGAGCCCTGATGTAGCGTGTGGGAGTTGAGCAAGCCCTGTACAATGGCAGGGTAGAGGCGGCTGGGGGTGGGGGGAAGGCTGGTAATCGTCCCATTTAGAAGGGGGCTGGAAATGATAGTATTAAGATTCGGGCTTTCTTCGGGGGTTGCAGAGGACATGCGACGTGGAGCAGAGTGGCGGGCCTGGGGAGCAAATGTCGGTTAATTAGGCTAAGTATCAAAGTGCAGCGCAGTCCCATATTATAAGAAGAATTCTTCTTACCTTCCAATGGGCTTTGTGCAAAGAAATATTGGTGTGGGAGGAAAAAGAATCAAACCAATCTCCCCCCCCCCCCTTTTCCCCCCCCCTCCCTTAAAACTCTTCTTTAACATATTGGGTTAAGGCTTTAAAAAGCAAAGGCTCGCGCTAAGAAACCCTGTTCCTTCAATGATTCCCTATTTCAAATAAAAGGATTTAAGTTGACGTATGACCACGTGAGCACATAATACAGCGCATTATTGTGGCATTTGGAGTGGAGACCCGGTCTGGCTCCGTCTGCGATTACGCTTTTCCAGTTTCTGTTCAGAGCAAGCACTGCTTTCTATTATTTTTTTTTTCCTCCTGCCCCCGTCACCGTCCCCGCAAGAGCTGGCCATTTCGCTGACAGCTTTCGTTCCTTATGGAAAGGTTATTGTCGAGCCGAGAGGACGAAATGCTTCGTTAGAAAGGATGGATTTTATTTTAAGGTATTTCCGTTGATTGTTCATTTATGTGGTGAGTTATTGCTGTTCGAGGCAAAGGTCAGTAGCAGAGGCTGGAGCGAGTGCGTGTGTGTGCGTGCGGGTGTGTGTGCACCCGGAGCCAGGCTGCTTCCCCCTTTGTTTCAATTTGCTGCGGTAAATATTCAACTCTCCCCTCGCAGCGAGCAGAGCAGGGAGAGTTTGCTGCTTTATTTATTTTTCTCCATAGAGATCCCACACCGCTGTTGATGGCCAGCTGCCTCAGCTCCAGCCCCTCGATTGCCGTCTTATCATTATTTATGATCGGCTAGAGATGGGAAGCCTCTTTTATTGTCGTGTTTGGATTTTTCCCCCTCAATTTTGTTTTATTATTTTATTTGTGTGTTGGTGCGTTTATTTATTTATGTATTTGGGGAAGTCGGAGAAAACGATGCGGGGGGGGGGGGATGCTCCTCGGGCGGGGTGGTGCTCGAGGGCGGTTGTTGTTTTATGGGTGTTTGTTCGGCCGCTGCCGCTCCGTAAATCGATGAGTACGCGATCGTGCTGCCATTTTATTTATGATGCTTTAGTGGTACTTTGTTTACCGTGCGCGGGGGGCTGCATGGGCGCTCAGCTCTGTGGCAAAGCTTCTCCTTCCCAAATGAGCCAAGGGGCTCCTCTTTATTTCTCCGCAGTGAGAAGGAGCTGAACCAAGAGCCAGCCATGGCTTCTAACAATAAATCAGCCTTGGAAACGTGTGGTTTTTTTCTCTCTCTCTGAACGGGGAGCTGGAAAGCGAGAATAAAAAGGGGAGGAGTGGAAATCGTCTTCTAGGATAAAATATACTAGTCCTAAATTCATATCCATACCGTCGTTTACATGAATAGATATATCCGTACGTATAAATATGTAAGTATTTGCATATACTTATAAATATGTGTGCGTAGCTATATAGAGAGAATGCGCTTTAAAAGACGAAAATGAAAGGTTACTTGGCTATCCAAGGAGGGCAAAATACTGTATAAAAGGACATTTCCGCGGCGTGTCCCGGCTTTGGGAAAGGTCGGAGCGCTGGGGCTCGCTTTCTTCCAGTTCGCTCCGCGCCTCTCGCCTATTCCTGCTGTACCATTTTTCGCCCCGTTACGGGGTGCTTGTAATTACTCATCTTCTAAGGGGTCAGAAAGAGAGGAAGAAAAGCGAACGATGACAAAAACTCCGCTGCAAACAAACAGAAAAATGGTTATTTCCACTCGGTGCTATTCGCGGCCGCTCTGCAGAGACCTGCAGGGCGGAGGTGTTGGGGCTGGTTTCTCCCTTTCCTGCTCTTTAAGTCGCCCTCAGAGCAGAACTGACCCAAAGAAACACTATTTCGCCTTCTCGCCATACTGAAGCACGTTGTCCTTTCTTAGACAGGAGAGAGAGGAGGAGAGCGGTTTCCCTCCCAGCTGTGTGTCTAAAAGCCAAGGTTGGCTTTGCCGTATTTTGAAATGGGCCAAAACGCGCCTCGAAAATAAAGTGCAAGCTTTAATTGCAGCTCAATTACTTGGCAGCGTTTCCTCTGATTTATGACCCAGTTCGGATGCATATTGACCCAGTTAAAACACTCATAAATAATACAGTCCTGCTTTAGAGCAAAAGAAAGCAAGAAGAGTTTTGGAGGAGAGGGGGATTTCGGTGAGTTGTGTAAATAACCTCAGTCTGCTGAGCAAATAGCAAAGAGTCCGTTGCCATTCTTTAGTGTTAGAGAATATAAACAATAATTCAGATTAACCACGGCTTGCTTCGATAGCCCAGTCCTTCTCTAAGGCAGCTGATATCCCCTCCTAACTCTCTAACGACTTGGACAGGCACCGCTTCCAGAATTGGTCCCCTTCTCCAGCAACTCCCCGCCTTGCCATTTCATCCCTAAGAGGTCCCCCCAAATCAGCCTTGAATTATGGTGCTGCCTGCTTCCATTTCGGAGCATCCAAGGACAAAGCGCTTTACAGGCATTATTTCGTTCGGAAACTAAGAGTAATTCCATGAAAGTGTTGGTGGGGGGTCCCACAGAGTGGGACCCTTCGGGAAGAAAAGACAGCTCATTTCTGACCCGGGAATCGGTCCCAAACGCTGCCGGTCCCTCCCCGAGCTGAGCCCTATCGCTCTCCGCGGAATGGAGCAGAAAGAAAATATTCGGCCTCTGGGAGGGAAAGACAGATAAAAGCAGCGGGGATCTGTGCGTTGGGACAATTATCCCGACATCATAGGAGACATTAAAAAAAAAAAAATCTTCTCATGTTTAAAATGACCTCTTTGGGGAGAGAGGGGGCGTGAGGAAACGGGGCTAATAGGCGAAATCTCGCAAAATGCTCTTTGCAGGCAGTAAGACCAATGGAGAAAACACTTCACTATTCCTATGAACCACTTCGGTTCTCACGATTAAAGTCCCTTGCAAATCCCTTCGGTTTTCAAAAGACGCCCTCCCCCCCTCCCCGTCCCCGCTCTTAAATACAGACATGTAGTCAGAATATCCCGCTGGCGATCGCTCCAAAGTTTAAACGCGCTCCTAGGCAAAGATCGCCCAGGCTTTCGGCAGGGCTCCCCAAACCGGCAGGCTCCCCGGCGTCCGCAGGTTTCTGCAGTCCCCAGCTCTCTCTCCCTTGCCAAATCCTCCTCTCCAGTCCGGGGGGCTCCGTCGGGGCGCAGCGCTGCCTCTCGCTATTTGGTCGGGCAAGAGGGCGAATGGCAGATCAGCAGTTTCAGAAGAAAGTGTGGGGTTGATTATTGACTAAAAAGACTTTTTTCTTCCGCTGCAACATTCAAGGGATTGTTTGAAGCAAAACGCATACGCGGGATTTTTGCCTCTCCTCTCCTCCTACGCTGCCCGCTTCCCCTTTCATGTGGTGCCTTCTCACTTATGCCATAAGGAGCAAGTGTTTTCTGTTTTAGTGCTCTGTTTACAGCTTTGGTGCATGAAGTCATAAATCTTGCATAGCCATAAATGACAAAAACCATTGGTATGCGTAAGAGGCCACCCCAGCCTTATACTGCTTTTTATTTCTCGCTTCCCCCTCGCTTTGTTTGTCCTTTAAGATGACGCCGGGCTCCCTCGTGCTTTAAACGGACTAGTTATATTTTTAATGCCTTAATTAACGAAGTAACGTCAAATTTACACCTAGGCATTATTCGGAGCCTCCGCTTAATGCACGGAGCCCGTAGTCCAGCTACCGTCTGCCAGGGGGACAGGGGCTGCAACTTTATTTAAGTTCTCGTTTGCACGGTCGCTGCCGTGTTTCTGTGGCAGGGGGATGGGGGAAACAC